TTGCAGCTTTCTTCTCTAACCTTAACCTGAGATTATAGCATGTGCCACAACCCCAGTCTAAATGAAAAATCAGAACTAAAAATCCACAGTAGTAAACTGGAGTTCCATATCCTTTTCTTTCATTTGTTCAAGGATATAACCACATAAGCTTGATTTTTATTTTTGATTTGGTCCATTTTTTTTTTCCTGGAAGTCAACTTTTGCAAAAACTTTACATTAGTAAGCTCTATTTAAAGCTTTTGTTATTTGTGACAGTGGTGTTTTCAAACTACCCACTGGTTTCTCTGTGGGGGTGCTTCTCACTCACTCACTCACTCACTCACTCACTCACTCACTCACTCACTCACTCACTCACTCAACACTCCTGAGAATCTGCAGTGTACCAGTGACTTGATGGAGTATGCCTCAGGGAGACAGGTAGATGGAGTCGGCATAGTGAAATGCTGTGATGCAATGAAAGGCTGAGGTAGGTAAAGTGTAGCTCAGCTCCTGTGGCTGTTCCCTCTACTGAGAAGGCCCTTTCATGGGACCCAGCCCAGCTGCACTCAGGGTCACCGTGCCACGGCCACCATGTCCAGCACTTGCTTCCTCCTTGCTCTCAGACTGGTTTGTACAGTGCTTGACTAGTAGCCAACTGTCTACAGCCAGTCAGTGCTTGCTGAATAGGGGATATGAACAATAGATGAGGTGAAAATTTTTAGGTATTTTAATACTATTAGAGACTTTTTTTTTGAACACCAAGCAAATTCTATTAACTGTTTCTATTGCTATGTGCAAGGGATGGGGTAGGATAGGAGGTTTCTTTTTTGAATAAGTGAAAAAGTAAATTGGTGTAAAAAGCCATTACTTTACTTGGTTTAAGTAATCTGTCTTTAAAAATCTTAGGGGATGCTATTTTTTTGTCATCCTTTTTTCTTGGTGGAAATCAAAGGTGTGTCTGGGGCCAGTTGCTAGAGGTGAGATCCACAAACTCCACGCACTCCCACTTAATTCAGGCACTGGGGCTCATCCACACCACGGTGGATGCACATCCTTTATTTCCAGGATGATTTCATAATGTTAAGAGAGTCCCCTTTGTCCGAGCTTCGCAGAGTGTTTTTGCTGGTCCTGAATCCAGGTTAGGACCATTTTGTCAGTATTTATTTGGTGACACGCATTTCCTCTTTTTAAAATTTGTCTATTCTGGGTCTGATAAAGGAGATCCCTTATTTTTATCAGGGGTAGCTTTTGGTTCTGGTAGCCTCAGATTCTTGCTTGGTTCTGAAACCATTGGTGTCCTTCTAAAATCCATATTTACTGATCATACAAGGCAGGAACAAAGAGAACATTTAGCATGATTGATTAGCATGTATGCTGTTTTGGAGTTCTCAGACTCTGTGGGGTTTCAGTATAACTCTTAGGAAAGGTGATCCCTTCATGTTGGACTGGAGAGACGTAATATCCTAGAGCATTTGCTGTGTTTAAACCCTGCCTTCCTTCCGTGTCCATGACTCAAGCTTCTGAGCTTGCTCTTCCATTGCCTGAGGATTGCAGTGTAGCTCCTTGGCCCTGCCCCTCTGGCCTTTGGAAATCCACTGAGATCTAGTTGCTGAGCCCTTTCCCTGACAGTGCCCTCTTGCCCACATCTCTGTAACATCTACTCACCTAGTGACCTCAACAGTTTCTGTTTCCTATGTTTTCACCTGTTCCTTTTCCTGCAGGGCTTGTATTGCACATACTCTCCTGCAGGGCTTGCATTGCACATGTTCACCTACTGTGCAAGAGTCCTTCACATTAACAACTGATGGATATTTGTTTAATGAATTTACATATACCATTTGGTAAGCTTGAAGCTATTACATATTTATGGAGATAAATATATTATTTTGTTCTCATTCAGGTCAGGTATGGTTGGGTGGCAGTGAATAAAGTAAAGCAGGTTAATAATAGGCCCAGGAAAATTGTGTCCAGTGGTCAAGGGTGCTATGAATGGTTTAAATGATGGCTTCATTTACCTTTGATGGCTGCTTGCATTTTTAATAAAATGAGAGAAGCAGTTATTGATAAATGCAAATTTTAAAGTTTCCTAATTGTCTAGTGAGTCTACAGAACAACAGTCAAGGTGTTGTAAGGAAAATTTTCCCCCCTCCTATCCACCATTGTTATAGCCTGGCAACATTTGCACCTGGACAGTGACAGTAAGCAGCTGCAATGGAGTCTACCTTCTCTGGGGGACTCCTCAAGACTCCACAGCAGAACAGGCATGTCTGATGTCTTGTCTGGAAGAGGCTTGCAGCTGGGAGCTGGGTTGCTTTCCGAGGCTAAGGTCGGGTCTGAGAGCGAGTCTGCTTCTTCTGCACTACTTGTTAAGTTAGAGCCTTATCTTCCTCAAGCCAGTGTGAACTATAGTTTTGTTGTATGCAGTTATGGGACTAGACAACAGACACATGACATTTCAGAATACAACTTTTAATGTTCATTGCAAATCCCAGCCTATCCTTTTGTCATTTGTACTTCTCAGTAAGTGGCCCCAGCTTTAACAAAAAACAAACAAACAAACATGAACCCTTTCCTTTGACTCTGAGTTGGTCACTTGTGTTATTTATGTTTCTGGTATTGTGAAGTAGAAGAGTCGAGTCTACAAGTGTCCAGGGCCAGTGCTTCTCCATGGGTTGTCAAAGCCATTTCAGTGTGGCTTGTGTTGTGAAATGTTAAAAGTTTATAGGGCCCAGTGAATATATTTCATTGCTTCAAAGTTTATAATGAAGTTTATTCTTGCTAAAGACACCTCTGGCATAGCATTGACCAGCTGTTATTATGTATGCCATTTGTCTGATACATTGGGTAGAAATGAAGCCATGCAGTATTTTCTCCTGCTGGATCAGTTCCCTGTCTCTTGTTACAGTTTCATGTTTTTTTATCCTTTGAATTATAAAGACAGATGACTCCTAGCTGAGTTACAGAAAGATGGCTCTTGTGTATTGTGTGTGAAAACTGGTAGCTTTCAAACACTTGTAACATTTCTTTCTTTCTTTCTAAAATGAAATGGACTTTTCCAAGTTTGGGAAGAGTGGACTTGCAGGCAGTTGAATGTATGTACCATTTGATGGGGACTCTTTCATTGCTCAGTGCATAAATGGAGGCCATTTGGAAAATGAGGTTTGTATGTTAGTGAAGGAGAAGTTGTAGCTTTTCACCATTCTGAGACACTTCTGAGAATATAACTATCCCAGGACACCTGGCATACACCAGTACCACCCCAGGGAGACTACCTATGATACAGAAATGGTGGGCACTGGCAGAGAGGAATCTGGTAAATAGTAACAGTAAGATTGATGCAGTCCTCATTCTTCCTCACATTCCTATGCCAACCAGGTATATTTAAGGAGCTCTGGCTCTGCAGTGAGCCTCTGCAGCAGTGGGCTAGTGGAGCGGACCCCACTGCATGTCCTTCTGCAGGCATTTCTGTGGCTGTTTCGGTGGTCAACCATTGGCTGAAGTACTGAGTACAAAGACAAATCCCATGAGTTTATGGAATCTAAACTTTTTCCTCATTGATTTAGCACTACTTATTCATTGATGGTTCCTGATCCACTGTCCAGTGAGAGGTGAAAGAGTGGGTTATTTAAAGGAGAAGGCAGAGTATTTCCAGCCTGTATTTCAAGTAGATATGAGGTGTTGTAAGGTCTTCATCTCTATCTTCACTCTCAGACAGTGAACTAGTTTGAAATCTGTCTTATAGTTAGATTACACTGACAGGTAGAAGGCAGCTGTGTGGTGGCGTTGTGTGCACAGTGTTAAAAATGAGGAAATAGAAGATAGCCGATCTTGTAGGTTGCCTTTGCTGTCTCTGTAAGGTTTCAGAAATGGCATCAGGCAGAGACAAGAGTAGGAGAGCAGGCAAAGAATAAAAACACAAAATGTGTTGAACTGAGAAAGGGAGAAATAGACATTGGCTCTTAAGTGGTGCTTGGGATTCCCAGAGTGCTGAGCATTGACTTGATCTTTCACCCAGCATCACTGCACACACTTTCCTAGATGCCACAACAGCTTCAGTCCTCAGGGAGAGCAGAGAAGCTCAGGGTTTTGCAAACAGAATTGGACTCTTGGTCATGCCTTTGTTTCCTAAGCATCTGTACTTAATTAAGGTTTTATCTAATGCCCCACATGTAAAACATCAAAGCACTAATTTAGTATTTATGTGGCTTTAAAACAGTTTTCGTATTAACTTGCTTCTCGGCCTTGTTTTCCTTTAAACAAGGGACTTTTTGATATGTTTTAGAGCCAGAGAAAAATACTATGGTTGCTTATAGGTGGCCCTTTGAGAAAACTGTAAAAAATGAGTTACATATGATTTACTTAAAATTCTAGTATTCCCAGAAGAATCAAACATTACGGGGGAATTCAAGTTCCCACTGTGCATGGGTTGGCTTCAGGAGTGTCTTAATGCTTCCTTCTGCTGAGCTCTGACCATTGGTTTAGAATCCTCATCCTCTTAACACGAGAGGGCTTAGACTCACACTGAGCTTCTTTTGGCAAGGTTAGATGTGATTATGTGTTGCCAATATTCATGAATGCCCTTAAAAATGTCTTAAATACACTGAAGACTCTTGGGAGGCGAAAGGGAAAACTTTCTTCAGTTTTAAACACAATACTGGAAAATCTGAATTTCTTGCACCACTACTCAAATGTTTGAGAGTTATTTTTCCTGATTTAATATGTAAAAATGATTTGTAAAGAAGTGTCAGTTAACACTGTGAATAAAAAATGCAGGACTTAAAGAAAGATCTACTTCGGAGAGGTCATTCCCAGCAGAGGAGGCCAAGCCACCGGCTGAGCTGGAGGAGCAGGCTTCTGACTTTGGGACAGGTAAGTGTCACGGAAGACTCTAGGGCATCCCTGGCCTGCAGGTGTCTTTGCTGTCAAGCAGCCATGTCTTCACCCAGTTGTTTAAATTGTTTACAAAAGGAGTTACAATTTCTTCTTTTCTGAAATTATAATCATTAATTTTGTAGTGAAAATGGATGCAGGGTTTTCATTTTTGTAACCAAGACTCTGAGACACAAATGGTTGCACATTGCCCAAGACCATGCAGTTAGGAACAGCAGAAGGCAAGAGTGTTTTGATTCTAATTCCAGCACTTTTTGACCACATCACATCAAAGTAAGAACAGACACAGACTGTACACAGCCTGGTTCATGAATGACTTCCACATGAATGAGTCCAGCAGGAATAATGAGCTCCCATCTTTTTTATATAAGGGCCCTGTCTGCACTGAAAGCCTCCCTGGACCTTGTGATGCTGTTTCCATCCCTGTGGCATCATAGATCAGGTCGTAGTATTTCCATAAGGGGACTTTGACCTATATTTTGGAAATGTTGAACTATTCTAACAAATCTGGACATAAAATTTTAATCTATGACCACCTTTTTCTGCTTGTGACAAGGTAATTGTAGACTGCAATTAGCTTCAGTGCTTGTCTTTCTTGCAATACTTAAGAAAATTGGTGGTTTCTTTGCGCCCCCTATTGGAAGTGCTACATACATATTTATTGGAAGCAATTTACAGCTCTAAGTGTGCTGTTGAATAATACTATATGATTTCTTGCTTCATCCCTTCAAGGAACAATATATGAGTCTAAGTTTTATTATTTGTTATTTAGAACCTTAGTAGAATTTATTGTCTCCTTCTCATACCTATGGAATTGGTATATGGTTCCAGAATCCATCTGCTTTTTTTTGGGTAAAGGTTTTTAATTTAATTATTTGAATTTAACCCTTACTATTTTACTTTGTATTAAATAGACTTGTAATTTTAAAAATCTATTTTTTCAAATGAGTACTGGATCTGAAATTTTCCATGTGCTTCCCATTCCCCCTTCTTGTTAATGGTTCTTTGCAAATGATTGCCAGTTAGCAGGTCCGCCCTCATTCTCCCCAGCTTCTTGGCAGTGTTTTCAGATTGCATTCTGCCCTCTCAGCCCTTCTCTTATTGAAACTTTAGTTCCTTTTTCCTTCTCTGGCTCCTTCCATCTGTTTTTCAAATACAGATACTTATCTCTAAGTAAACTAAAGCCTTTGATGCCCTCCTAACTCCCACCTGCTACAGGTTCCCTCTCTTCATTGTAGTAAACACACTTTTGAAAGAACACACTACATAAAATTCCCTTTTTTACTTTCCTTTCTGTCCATTCTTTAACCTGTTGTAGTCTAGCTTCTACCTCTGCACCATCTCCATGGGAGAAGAAAGACATGTGTAGAATCATAAATGAATTGGCAGGGAGTTCACTGAGTTCTAAACCGGTGCTGGTAACACAAGTCTGGGAAAGTGTAGGAGGACCTGCATTTTTAGTTCTCAATCCATGGTGCTTAGGTTTCCCTGTCTAGGAAGTCAGTAAAGAAACAGCTAGAAACTCTATATGATACCATTGGATGCTTTTCTCAGCACTGTCGGAATGGGCCCCAATGAGGAGACTGTCACAAACCCTGGGAGACAGTGAAAAAAGAGTAGAGATTAGGGACCTGTATAATTATGTCAGGATGTCTATATGGATGACTAGTGAAACAGAAATAAAACATCTTTATGCTTTAGAAATGTTTTATTAAGCAATTGGCATAACATGGGTTAAACTTTTTCCCTTCCTGAATTTATTCTGACTGTCACTGAAGATCTATACTTTTGATATAACTCCTGCCATTGGCATTATCTTACATGCAGCACTGATGATACCAAGATGAAGTCTATCATGTCACCAAACCTGCAAACAATGTCTCGCAGCAACAGCTTATTTGTTGTGTAATGTTGGGGTTTATCAATCTTACAGTCTGATAAGTAATGTGGTGTTGTTGGAATGCCATCATTAACATCCACTTTTGTAAGTCACAATTATCTGAGCCTTGGGGTCTGGCTTTCAGATACATTTTTCTGAAACTGACAGGGTATTCATTATCACACAAGCTTCAGATCTGTGGGTCTGGCATCCCTACTTACTCTGGTCCTCATTCCAGCAATGGTGCCCTTCCTCCCAACTGCCAGGCGTGCAGGCGTGGATCACATTGTTTAGTCTATATGGAATTTGGAATTTGGTCTTTTCCAGTATCCCTCTTTATGAAAGCTTAGTCCTTGCATCCTTCTAACATGAATGGGAATTGGAAACTGAAAGCATTATCTCTTAGGCTATTTTTTAAAAGGAAAAAAGTCTATGCCTGAATTAGTTTCTTCTTTAAAAGTACCTTTGAAAGCCTTTAGTATTTACATCTGCTGAGCAAATAAGGCCAATGTTAAGTGTGTTCTATGTTTGCTGACGTAGGGGAGGAAGTGGCATATGGATATGGAAAAAAATACATAGCCTCTTAGCCAAGTATAGTCATCTTAATACGTGTGCAAGTGGCTTATTTAAGTGTTGGAATTTTACATTAACTCTTGAGTGTTATGTTTTTTTGTTATGTTTTATAATTATTTTAGAAGTCCAGAATGTTGAAGATGAAGTAAAAGAACAAATTCAGTCCCTTCACCAGGAATCAGCACACACAGAATATGGTATGAATTCAATTCTGTTTTGTATAAGTTACTAAAATAGTTGAGTTTCTGTAACTACATTCCGAATAATTATAGACCAACTATTATTTCTGAGGGGGCGGGGTGGGGGAGAGCACTGGATATACTTTCCAAAATTCCACCTCACTGTGAAGGAGTTTTATGAACATATTTAATTTTAAAATCATAGGAATAAATGAAGATAAATAATTCAAGGCCAGCGTCCCATCACAAATATATGGGAGAGTCAGAGTGGAGTGACCAATACAGGCCAATGAGCTCTGGCTGCTTGTCTTGACGTGGTCCTCCACCCTCAGGAGCCATCCTCCACATGAGGAGAGATGCTCCTCCCTCAGGAACTATCCCAACCTTCAAGAGTGATCCTCTACCTTCAGGAGCTTCTCAGCCATCAGGAGTGAACCTCTGGAGCAATCTTTCTTTCTCCCAGTTTTCTTGATGTTTGACTGGGTTACCCAAGCAAAACATGAGAAACAATTTTACAGGTCATGCTATCAAAGAGACCAGGAAGTATCCTCCCAGTGCTTGGCTCTGGTTTCTTGTGGTGGGGTCTGTGTAGAGAATATTGAATGATAATTCATTAATTGGTGTGCCAGAGTTTCATTGGGATACTCCTAGAAACATCTCCTGATAAAAGCAGATAGCATGACCCCATAATGTAATTTGTGGAAGGTTTGTAAAGCGGCAGGACATTGGCACCCTGTTGTCTTAGTGAGACCTGAGGGAAGCCTAAAGGAAAAATATTATCTCACGAAGTCAGTACCTTACATTGTGAGTGGATATTGCTGATGGCTGCTGACAATGTAGGAAGGATTGTCCCCTATAATTCTTGGTAGGCTGTATCACTGGAATGTATTTCTTCCCCATAGCACACAGGCTACAACTCTCCCCACCCCACCGCTGTAGCACAAGCACAAGGAAGATGACATCTAAGTACTGAATTCAGTGTGATAAGCTGAGAACTGCCGTGCTGAGTGACAGGATACTGAGTGAGGTTACCAGGCCTAGGACTCAGAGACACTCGCTGGAGAGAATGCATGCCTTTTAGAGCAGAAGAGTTCACCTGGCCATTGTAATTAGAGACCCAATGTGAAGATGGTCAGAATGGCTGGCACAGGTAGAGTGAGGACAGAAAAGATACTTACTTTGAAGAGGAATTGGAGCTACTGGGAGGGGTATAGGAGTATAGTTTGTTCTGCCTACAGTCTGAAGAATAGGCGGGAACATGCCTGAGTGCAGCAGAGACCAAATATGAAGTCATGATGGCCCATGAAAGTCAGCTCTACAAGGGTAGGGATGCAGAGGAATGGGAAGGCTCAGCAGCTGTTTGCCAGCAGGCCCAGTGGATAAGGTGTAGGTGATGAATAGCAAACCAAAAGAGGAAAGAATCCTAGAGCCTAGTTCCCTGCTGTGCCTTCTTGCTTCTGGTTTATATCCTTATAGAAGCTTTCTCCATAGACAGTTACATTTGTGGTCCATGGTTTCAGACATCATTTATGTCTTTTTAGTCCTGCAGATGTCACCAGTGACTTACCTAAAGTAGTAGTACTGTACCCAGTTACACACAGCACAGTTCCATTTGGGTATGCCATGGGTGACTCAGGATGTAGCCATGCCGAGCACTGAAGGCTTTCTTCCAGTACAGTGTCACAGCTCCCCATCAGCCCTTCACCAGTGCAGAGTCACAGTCCCCATCAGCCCTTCCCAGTGCGGTGTCATAGTCCCCATTAACCATTCCCCATGTCAATTGCTCTTACTTGAGCTTTTTATACTTTTTAATGAGTTTTTCTATTGTGGCCCAAGCATTTTCTATGATTTTCTCGTTCCTGTAGCAGCAAGCCCTGTCTAATTTGCTTTCAACATGTGTTCTGACTCTTGTGCCTTAGCTTTGACTGTCACCTCTTGCCATAGCCCTGTAGTGGCATTCATCTAGGTCTGTTTCTGTTCTCTGTTCTGTGTTGGGTGTGGCCTTATCAGCTGTGTCTTTTCAGTCCCAGCCTTTGCTTCTCTCCCAGCCTGCTGTCTCTGTCTCCTGCAATAATTCCCGCTTATATGCCTCAGGACCTTTGCATCTGCTGTATCATTTGCTTGTGTGTGTTTCTCATCTCCACCCCATCTTCACCTCACATCAGATTGAGCATGACTTCCCTGGACCTATTGTCATAAATTCCATTGCTACCTCCCACCCGCCATGTATTAGCTCTGTGGTTTGAGCCAAGTCCTTTGTACTTCAGAGTTGGATAGTAACGTCAACCAAATGGGGAAAGTGCAACAGCACAGGGAGTTGACAGTGCTTAGTGTAGTGAGCCCCCTGGGTGTGCTTGCTTTTTCTCACACATGGCTGACACTTGCTGCACAGTGGACTCAAAACCACTGGACAGTGCCTGCGTGGTTTCTCTAGTGGAACAATGGCACATCCATTGAACAGTAGGGTTGACTGATAGTGGTGCAAATCACAAAACTTCTCTAGAGGGGATGAAGAGAGAAGGAAAGAGGACTGTACTCAGTGGACAGTTACAGCTCCCAGTAGCAATTAGATTTGGTGGGTGGTTTTGTGGATAGCAGGACTAAAAGGAGGAGAAACTCTAGTGCAGGTGGTGATGAAAAGACAGGAAGCAGATCCTGTACACCTTCCTATAGCTCTCTGAGGAAACCTGGGATCTGTGAAAACAAAGAAAGTACTGAACTCTGCCCTCATCTTTATCACATACCATGGCTATAGTGTCTGCTGTTTGAGGTACAATGGCAAAATTAGTACAATTTTTTTCTCAGTCTGAAGATTTTGTAGCTACTTCAAATGTCTTCCATTTCTTTCTTTTTTTTAAATCAATTATTAAAAAAAGAAAACAAAGTATGAAAATATTATTCCTCAGCATAGCCAACATCACTATTCTTGTGCTTTGGAGCCATTATTAAGTTAAATAAGGATTCCTGGATTATAAATAACCGAGTCACTAAATCTGATACACATGACTGCTAGGTGACTAATGGGCAGGTTGAGTATACAATGTTGATGAACCTGGACCAAAGGGTAATTCATATCCCAGATGGGAAGCAGAGAGATGAAGAGGGATTTCATTACTGGGAATCATATTTAAAAATGTTTATTCCTGGAACTTTAAGGTTTCATACTGTGGTTGGCCCCAGACAAATGAGACTTCAGAAAGCAAAACTGCAGATAAGGGACACCTTCTATAAAAAAATATCTACACAAATAGGTCTATATGACTTGGTGAAACTGAACATCACTATGCCACAGTGTGGAGAATAACTAAAAAGGGTTTCCTGTGGTCATGGGGGCAGTTCAATAGCTGTAGAGCGAGTCTCGTTATTTCTACAGTAATTGTAATGGTAATGACCACACTGGACACTTATAATGGACAAGGCATGCTCACAAGTATTTTCATCCTCTTACCAATACTCTGAGCTGAGAATTATTATTCTAATTTTAGGAAGGGAATCTCAGGCATGGAGTAGGTAATTTGTTTACACTCAGACAGCTGTTGTAAAGAGCCTAATTCCAGAGCCTGCCTCCTGAGACTCCAGATTCCCAAACAGCTGAGTCCAGCTCACTCAGGTTCTTCAACTGGAGCATTGTTTACAAGAAGTCATCTTCTGGGAACCATGCAAGTCACTGTAGAGTAACCTGAGGGCAAGGTCACAGGCCAAACTGTATTGAAATGGAGAAATGTAGCATGTTCAGTATATCCTAAAGAATTCAGCAAAGAACTTTCTGTCTCTATTAACTAAAATACCTAAGCCTAGGTCAGTTGAGATGCACAATGTGAGATGTATCTGGGGTGCAGCAATGTGACTTAGTAGGCAACCAGCTGCTCTCCACATTAAAACATTTAAGTTATCGATTATAGTTGCTATGTGGAATTTGACAGTTCTCAATGAAAAGTCTTGGTGTGACCTGACTCAGGGATCATAAAAGAGATGTACGTGTTAATAATTACAAATTCGTTTATTGATTCATCAAGTATTTAGGAGCACCTCCATTGGCTACTCATGGTCCTATCTGCTTAGTATGAAGTATGAGCAATATAATGAGGTGAATATCCTCTATGAGTTCATATTGTAATGAGCAGTGACTCTCAGACAGACTGGCACTGGCCAGAGTGAGAAAGTGGCTTTAGATGGGATGATGGTAGTGGCTCCCCGGGGGGGGGGAGGGTGGGGTGGCTGAACATGGCCTGTCTAGGTTGGCTGCCACTGTGGGCTCTTACTGTTTCTTCTCACTCATTGTTTCTCCTTGTTGGAGACTTGAAGCTGGAAGCAGATGGGCCAGCAGAACCACAGCCAGAGATGGAGGACTTCCTCACAGTAACTGCCGGAGATGACAGATTTGAGGTCCTGGAACCTGAGGCAGTTCATGAAGGTAGAACACCTTTGTTTAAAAATAGTTGATGGGGGGCTGAAAAGATGGTTCAGAGATGGCTCAGTGCTTAAGAGCACTGGCTGTTCTTCTAGAAGACCCGAATTCAATTTCCAGCATCCACATGGCAGCTCACAACTGCCTGTAACTCTAGTTCCAGAGGATCTGACATCTTCACACAGACATGCATGCAGGCAAAACACCAATGCACATAAAAAAAAATAAATAAAATAGTTGGTAGTTTATAGTGTAATTATTGAAACATTCCTAAAATTTCTTTAAGAGCAGTATTTAATTTTATGTTTATATATTTTGAGGATGAAGCTTAATGCTTCAACGTGACTGAGCTTTTCTCTAAAATAAAATGATACCTGATTTCTTTCAAAGCCTGAAGGAAAACTCATAAATAGGTGGATAATGGTAAGTGCAATGCCTTGGCAAACTTCTCTATTGCACCACTTAGGGGCCTTGTGTTACAGGAAGTTCAGTCACAAAGAACCACTGCACTTGCTGTCTGTCTGTCCCTGGCTTTTGTTCTAACAGCACTGTCTCCCTATACTGGGCAGAGGCAGGCTGCAGCTTCTGTAGCACATGTCCCCAGACATTTTTTTGTTAAGTAGCCAGGTAGCAGGTGTTTTCAACTAGTAGAGAATTCAGTAGATACTAGCACTCTTAGCTGCTATTGTAGCCAAGGACCATCTTCAACTCTAATTAATTGGGTATAAACATGGCTGTGTTTCCATGAACCTCCATACCAAAAATAGCTAACAAATGGTTGCAAAAACTGCACGTCACAAAAACGCCAACACATGTACACTTCTGACATACTGTGCTGGGAAATTTCTTTCGTGGTAGATTTTTGAATGTTTTTATATCATTTGAAGTGGGAAGGATTTAGTATCAGCAAGGTTAGGAGGTCAGCTCTGGCCAGGAAGAAACACTTCTAAGAAGTCTGTAAGTTAAAGAAAACCTTGTTTTCTATCATAATGTTTGATGAAAACAGATTAAATTTGAACCAAAAGTTTTATCATTGAAAGTCTTTAGAGATTAAAAATATTTGAATTTTGTAATCTGCCCAATAAAATGTACAAAGATTGAATCCTGAAAAAAACAGATAAGGGAGTATGGAGTGGACTTGTTGAGAAGGGCCCTGTTGGGAATGCAGAGAACGAAGAGAAGGTGACGGAGGATGAATGTGACCAGAACATATTCTGTATATGTACGAAATTGTCACAGGATGCTAAAATACACAAAGGTTATAGTGGCAAGGATCAAATGCTGGCATTTTTATTGTCTGAGTAAGTGAGCTCAGTGAGCCAGACATTTTCTGTGCAGGTGTGGTGGCACGTGCCTACTGTCCATTAGTTGGTAGCCAGACTGGATGGTGAGACCCTGTTTCAAAAAGAAATAGAAACCCAGGCATGGTGTTCCTTGCATTTAATCCCAGTCCTGAGGAGGCAGAGGCAGGTAGCTCTCTCTGAGTTCTAGGCCTCCCTAGTCTCTATAGAGAGTTCCACACCAGCCCTAGCCACCTAGTGAGATGTTGTCTGAAAACAAAATAACAAAACCAACCAACCACCATCCAGTTAAACAAAACAAAAATACATACTTTCTTTTTTTTTCAAACATACCAAATCTGTATTTTCAACATGCATTTTCACTTTAGAAAATAGGACAAAGCTAGTAAATAGAAGGGCACAGTAAAACGTGAAGTGGATTAACAGCACCGTTCCTGCATTCAGCCTTTGTCCCTATGGACTGCATGAACTGCTTTCTCTCTTTGCCCAAGGTTTTGGTGTGTGTCAACCCTGGAACTCTTGGGTAGGTAAAGTAAGAGTGCATGAGACGTGCGGCATAAAGTAGTGATTAAATGATAGACACTTAATTGGTATTTCCATGCTTTATTTTGATAGTTTATAGTAAAATCATTGATAAGCATTGGAGTTACCTAAATTATCATTCAAAATAGACATATATAGCAGATGCGTATACCATATATGAGAGAATATATCAACCTAATGCTTTCTTCTTTCCTTTTTTTTTTCCCCCGCAGAAATTGAGGATAATTACCATATGGAAGAGACAGGTAAGATTTTATTAGTTAGAGTGAATATTCTAACAGCATCATGAGTTAGATAAGATACTATTTCTTAGTATTTTTAAATTATTCACTGTGTTATATGACAGATAGCTACTAATGTTATTTGTGTTTCCTTTATATTTATGTCCTGAATATAAATCCCAAGTAGTAGAATTACTCTGTCAATATCTACAGAGGAATTGCATTGGTTTTGATGGAATATATCTGTAATTTCAGACTCAGAAAGTGGAGGCAGGAAGGTTGTGAGGGTTGTTAGTTCAAAACTCCCCTGGAGTTATAGAGTGAAACCCTGGAAACACACACACACACACACACACACACACACACACACACACAAATAGATAGAAAAAGAGAGG